GCTTTTCTTTTTCTTCTTCCACTCGCGATTCTACGTCGCCTCGATCCACGTCCGCATAGATTTGACGGGGGAGAAATTTGTCACCTTCGTCCTGCTTGCGTTTCCAACCAACGCTCGCCTCCGGCCCCTTTTTCCATACCCTCTCCGAGGGATCGAGAAAATTGAGTCAGAGGGAAATGGTTGCGGAATCCATCCGGACGGACACCCAAAACGAGAATACGGATGCGAGATCGTCGATCCCCCCTCCCTTCCTCCCCGGTAATTAGCGTGGTCGTCAGGGACGCCACTGGGGCCTTTCACTGCGCGAGAAAAGACGAGTTACGATCTCTTGATTACTAAATATCCACAACGAGCCTCTCGGCTCTGATTAACCGGCACGTCGACTCATCGGGACCACCTATATATAAATCCTGAGAGAATGAGTCGAAACTTTCTATACAACTTCCTCGCGGGACGTTGTATAAATATCAATGCGACGCGAGATCATTTTATTAACTTTTGAAACGGAATACAGAGTTTAACATATTTTTCTCTCCTAATATACATATATATATATATATAAAAGAAATGGTCCAAAATATAAAACATAGAATAATAACGTAGAAACAATAACATAGAATAAAATAAAGACGATTAATTTCCTTAAGGATACGGATTGGGAAAAAAGAAGAGGAGAAAAGTAAGGTGGAATGTTCCGTATCGAAAATTACATCACGGGTGGTCCCTAAATGGTCCCCGGCTCGTTCGGATCGGTGCGAAGCTGTTGGATCTCGCGTGGCTAATCGTAGAAATCGTACGTGACCGATCGTCGGCGGCCGGGCGGCCGATTCGCGCGGCAAAACACCGTGAACGGAATCGTCCGCGCGACGATCATTGTCGCGTGTAACTCGCGCGTCGTCACCGTACTCGTGCACGTACTCGATCCAAGACGTGTTTGTCGATCGATTAACAGGTAACGAACGTCTGTCGTTCGTTATCCGGCGTGTTAAAGCGACACGGTTCGTCGACGTTCGTGGGATACGTTCGAGCTAATTTACCCCCCTCCCTCTCCCCGTGAATAATACAATACGCGCGCAAAGAAAACGCGCGAAACATCCTCGTTCTTTGAAAGAAAAAAAAAAAAAGAAAGAGAAGAGGATCACAATTCTCCCCCCCCTCCCATTATCGCTTGTATTAAGACGAATCTTTTGTTCGCGCACGTTGGGAGCGATTCGGTATTCCAAAGGTTGATGAACGAGCGGGTTTTGATGATGCGATTCCATCAGAGGAGAGGTAATTACCGTGCGCGGAATTAGAGGTGCGCGATCGTTGAAGATTGCGCGAAATTATGGAACTCGCGTGATAAGTTTCTTCTTCTTTTTTCGAGAGTCGTTTCGAAGGCGGAAGAATTCTGGAGTATATTCTCTGATCTTACTTAAGGGGTTGGAGGATGGATTCGTTCAGGAATACGAACAATCGGTAAACAATCGGATTGAATGGAATGGTTATTACCCGAACGTGACCAAACTGGTGGAGTCGTCGATACATTTCCGATCATCGGTCTCACAAACGGCTCTCTTACTTCTCTTACTTCCCGCGAATAATTTATCGAAGCAATCCACGTTCGATTACTGCAACCACGTGCTTGTCGCCACCCCGTCCCAATCGTGAAAAGCGTGGATAGCATCGAGGAAAAATTGAAGGTGGCCCGAAGAGGAAAAGAAAAAGGAAGGAAATTAATCAGAGAATTATTAAGGGATGAAGCGGCGGGTGCAAAAGATCGGTCCTTCCTCATTCCCCGGTCTTCCTCTTCCCTCCTTCTCTCGCGGTTAGGAAGGAGGGAGGTCGGAGAGTACAAACGCATCCGCGCTCAGGGATGATTAACAACCCGGGGCCCAGCCGCATATCTCCGGGCCCCGGACGGTGCTGGCTAATCGATTAATGTACGATATCGAACGCGCGCGTCCCACGGGCCATTGTTTGTTGTTAATTACACTGATACATCTATTCGAGAGCGGGGGATCGACCGACCGCCCGTCGTCCACCATTCTCCACGACAGGATTTGAATCTTGATCTTTTTGACGCGTATCTCCTCCCTTCCCTCTTCTCTCCCTCCGCTAATTACTATTGGAAAAATAGAGAAAAGGCGGGAGCGTCGATAGATGAACGAAGAATTGACAGAATTGTTCTATTCCTTCTTCTTCTTCTTCATCTTTCATTCATCGGAACGTTTAAATTCCCATCCGTCTTTTGCCAATCGCACACTAAGATGATGAGATAGTTGATTAAATGGTTGTCGGAATCATTTTTAACCTACGTGAAACTTATAATTTATTCAATCAGAGAGAAAATAGAGAACTTGGACCTCTCGAACTGACCACGATAATATTTAAATAACGAATTATCTTCTTTATATATATATATATATCTATCAGGAAAGAGTAGAACTTGGAACGTTTTCAAGCTTAAGCCGTTTCGATCGAGAATACGATTACAATCCCGCGAAAGTAAAATCGGACGACTTGGGTGTCGCGTTAAAATTCTCTATTTCGAAAGATTGGTCTGTCGAAGCCGGATAAACCGTCAAATCGAATTTTAACGCGAAACGTTAAGAAGAAGGATGCGAAGAGAAGGAGCTGATGACGCGTGGTCTCTGTCTCGTTAATTACCCAGTGCGTTTGCCCAGGCTCCTCCCTCTTTGCGCGCCGCTCGATGGATGGATTGCTCAACACTTGTCACGCCTCGCTAATTAACATTCAGTCATCTCCCTCTCGGAAGTCCCTCTTACACCCGGCCCCGCCGCGCTCCTCTGTCGAAAGAGGCGAAGCGAGCCGCGGCCAGGTGGAAAGTCGTTTAATATTT